CAGAGGTACAGTGTTAACGACCCAGTGCAGAGCTACAGTGTTAATGATCCAGTGCAGAGCTACAGTGTTAATGGTCCAGTGCAGAGGTAGCATCAGTGACTATGAAACTGTTAAATCTTTACAAACGAAGTGAGAACCCAGCCGACACGGCGGGCTCTGAGCTGCCCTCCAAAAGCAGCTCTCTATCAGTTCATCGGAACGGTGCTAAACTGCAGCAAGATGGGGAAGGCGAGGCTGGGGACGGAAAGTGGAAGGTGATTCAAAGAGAGAGAGTGTGAGTCCCACCCTTCCCCCAAAGGCGGCAGATTGGATGACGGGGACCTGCACGTATTCTCGCTCTGCCACAGAAATATGTGAGATATTGTTCAAGCACCACAGTGTAGGAGGGCAGCTGTTGGAGATATCAGCCCGCAATCTATCAGGGCGAGCTCGTTCCTTTTCTTTTCCCCCTATTCAAGCCGATCAAAGGAAATCTGACGGTCAGTCATAACAGTGCACGTCAGTCGCCTCCTCAGTGTTTTGAGTTGAGTCAGACAGGCGCCTTGCTCACTCTGCAATGCGCTGTCTCACGCTGAGGGGCTGAGTCTGCCTCGCCCTGTGCACCTGCCGATTACCATCTTACAGCCCAGGCCACTGAACCTACAGACCTGTTCACACCGAAACATTAAGTCTCCCAGCCCCACCAACCAAACCTGACAAAACCAAACGCTTCACTAACATCAGAGCCCTGAGCTCAGAGCCTTGGGTTTTCACTCCCAGAGACCTGAGCATCGCGGTGCTCTCCTTGTCAAGGGGTTAGAAAAAAAACATTCAAGGCAGCCGGGACTTTGTAAGTTCCTACGGACTGCTGGTGCAGAGATACTCTCGAAGATATACTACCAGGCAAAATTCTAGGAGGCACGGACATGCTGGGAGTTTAATGTCTCATTGGAGAGCAGCTACCACCCGACAGTGCGGCACTCCCTCAGTACTGACCCACCCGCAGTGCGGCACTCCCCCAGTACTGACCCACCCGCAGTGCGGCGCTCCCCCAGTACTGACCCACCCGCAGTGCGGCGCTCCCTCAGTACTGACCCACCCGCAGTGCGGCACTCCCTCAGTACTGACCCACCCGCAGTGCGGCACTCTCTCAGTACTGACCCACCCACAGTGCGGCGCTCCCTCAGTACTGACCCACCCGCAGTGCGGCGCTCTCTCAGTACTGACCCACCCACAGTGCGGTGCTCCCTCAGTACTGACCCTCTGACAGTGCGGCACCCCCTCAGTACTGACCCTCCCACAGTGCGGCACTCCCTCAGTACTGACCCACCCACAGTGCGGCACTCCCTCAGTACTGACCCACCCACAGTGCGGCGCTCCCTCAGTACTGACCCACCCACAGTGCGGCACTCCCTCAGTACTGACTCTCTGACAGTGCGGCACTACCTCAGCACTGACCCTCTGACAGTGTTGCACTCCCTCAGCAAAGACCCTCTGAAGTGTTGCACTCCCTCAGGACTGACCCCCTGACAGTGCAGCACTCCCTCAGCACTGACCGTCTGACAGTGTTGCACTCCCTCAGTACTGATCTTCTGACAGTGCAGCACTCCCTTAGAACTGACCCTCTGACAGTGCGGCACTCTCTCAGTGCTGACTCTCTGACAGTGTGACTCCCCCTCATTTTTGTACAAGGAGTATCAAGTTGGATTTTTATTCTCAAATTTGTGACGTGGGGTTTGAACCCTTTGCTTAAGTAAATGATTCTCACTGAACCCAAGGCTGACACTGCAGTATACTGAGCATAATGCATTAGACTTCCTGTCTTTTCCTTTGCCTTCCTTCACCTTTTCCAATTAACTGCCTTTCTTTGTGATACCGAATAGCTCCTAATTTATGCTACTTTGAGCCCTGAACTCCTGTTTATGCTTTGGGGGTGAAGGTATAATCTCCTCAATTTGCCAATACACTTGCCAGCACAAGTCTATGCAAAATGTAAACTCTCAGATTATTCTCAGTGACACGGGGACACTGGGGGTTGAGGGGGGTGGTGTGGTGGGGTGAGGAGTGGGTGGTATAGCAGGTGCTCTGTTAATCCATGTGGGGTCATTGAAGCCTTAATTCTATGCTCAACAGAACATTAGCCATGATATGAAGCAAATGGACCGAATGTCAGAAATGTTTGCAGGTCCTTTGAAAATACACAACCTGATTATGCTGTGATGACACACTATTTGAAAAGCACAGTGGGTTTTGGAAATGGAATATTTCAGACCTGTTATTTATACCAAAATCATGCAGATATTGACAAAGTTTAAAAAAAGTCCTGTTCTCCAATAGCTCCTGAATGAAATACACTCCAGAGAGAGAGAGTGAGAGAGGGAGAGAGAGAGAGAGAGTTTGTTAAGGAAGCCTTTTTCAAATTAAACCTAAACCTGAACCCAACTATAATCTTATCCTCAACCATAATTACAATCACAAAGTGAATCCTGTCCGAACCCTATCCTTCACCACAACATTAAGTGTAACCATAATCATAACCTCAATCCTAAATGCAGTCCCAAATCAACCATTAGGGATCTGATTTAATCCCTAATCCTATTCTTAACCTTAAACATACCCCCAACCCTAAATCTGAGTTTAACATGTATGCTAACTCTAGCCCTAACCCTATCCATATCCCAACATTAACCAAAACCAACTGACTCTAACCCTAAATCTATTTTAACCTGAACCATAACCCAATCGAATAGTAATTCTAACACAAACCCTACACCTTTCCCTTATCCTAACCATTAACCCTAATCCTGAACTAAACCTGAATTCTGAACATAACATTTAGCCTACCACTCACCTTCGTCTTATTATAACCTTGTTCCTACCTTGAGTCATAATATTAACCATAATACTGACCTTGTCCCTAGCCCTTACTATAAATTAAACCAAACTTTAATTCCAATTCTAATTGTAGTGCTAATCCAAATATAACCCGAATGCTATCTCTATCCCCAGTAGTATCTCTGATCCTGCCCCTGACCTTCAACATAGCCCTTAATCGGAGTAGAATCCCAGCATCAATATAACCAAATACTTACCTTGTGAAGAGGTGAAGTGAGTGCAAATTGAGATTAGAAGTCCGTAGGTAAGAGCAGGAGCAGTGGCCATGCTGAGAGTGATATGAAGAATTGAGGATGTGTTTACTAAGTGCTTCCAACTGCAAGTCAAGCGCAAGATCATTTCTTCTGTTGAGTTGGGAACTCCCACCAGCAGCAACATATCTTCAGTGAACGTTAACCCTTTCCTTGCAGGGTCACTTGCCAAACTAAACTTCTGTCTTCACACATTCTAATCCACCCAAAACATATTAGCCAATTAACAATCTGCTGATTTTTGTTTTTTTTAAAAAAAATCACAGGATGAGGGCATTGCTGGCCAGGCCAGCATTCATGTTGCCTATCCTTAATTGCCCAGCGACCACTTAAGAGTCAACCACATTGCTCTGGGTCTGGAGTCACATGTAGGCCAGACCAGGTAAGGATCACAGTTTCCTTCCCTAAAGGGCATTAGTGAACATTTTTTCCCCTGACAATTGATTCATGGCTGTCATAATTATCTCTTAACTCCAGATTATTTTAATTGAACTCAAATTCCACCATCTGCCATGGCAGGATTTGAACCCAGGTTCCTGGGTCTTTCGAATAACAGGTCCGGCAATAATACCACTGGGCCATTGCCTCCCCACTCTATATGACAGAACGCATAGGGATGGCATGGTTGTGCAGTGGTTAGCACTGCTGCCCCACAGTACCAGGGACCTTGGTTTGATTCCAGCCTTGGGTGACTGTGTAAAGTTTGCATTCTCCCCTTGCCTGCATGGGTTTCTGCCGGGTGCTCTGTTTTCCTCCTGGGTTAGGTGGATTGGCCACATCTGCACTGTCCAGGGTTGTTCTGGCTAGGTGGACCAGCCATGGGAAATGCTGGAATAGAGTGGGCTTGGGTTGGCAGCTCTTTGGGAGGTCAGTGTAGACCCAATGGACCTACTGGCCTCTATCTGCACTGTGGGGATTCTATGAGATGAGAAAATAAAAGGTATCTAAGGTGATAGCAGAACTGAATTTATAAGTAACACAGAGTGAATAGGCATTGACTGTTATCCTTCAAAAATAAAATGTTTAAGGGGCTATAAACACTGGAAGAGAACTTATGTGGTAGGAGCAGAAGCAGGTCGCTCTGCCTCTCAATTTGATTGTGGCTGATCTAATTGTACTTACTCCCTGATACACATTGAACCTTTGAACTATGGGGACCCTGTACTGCTGTTCTTTCAAAGAGTGATACAGGCTTGGTTATATTCAACCCAGGGCAGAAAGAGTGTTGATCAAGACGGCTTGTCTGAAAGATGACACCTCTGATAGTGCAGCTTTCCCTCACTGGAGAGGCTAGGCAGAACCAGGGGAGTCAAACTAATTGCACAGCTCTCTCAAAAGGGTGTGGGGAGTTAGTTTTAATCAGACATGATGCTGGGGATGCCAAGAGATCGGGGGAATTTCAGTTTTACGGCATACCCATCACTGACTTCAAAGTCAAGCAGACTTTGAATAAAAACACTGATTGGACCCAGTCTCCCTGCAGAGACCCAGCATAAATTCAATGCGCTGAAGGATCCAGGAATACAGAGTACTGGGCTAATGGTAAGATTCTTGGTAGTGTGGATGAGCAGAAAGATCTCGGTGTCCATGTGCATAGATCACTGAAAGTTGCCACCCAGGTTGATAGCGTTGTTAAGAAGGCGTACAGTATGTTAGGTTTTATTGGGAGAGGGATTGAGTTTCGGAGCCATGAGGTCATGTTGCAGCTGTACAAAACTCTGGTGCGGCCGCACTTGGAGTATTGCGTACAGTTCTGGTCACCGCATTATAGGAAGGATGTGGAAGCATTGGAAAGGGTGCAGAGGAGATTTACCAGGATGTTGCCTGGTATGGAGGGAAGGTCTTATGAGGAAAGGCTGAGGGTTTTGAGGCTGTTTTCGTTAGAGAGAAGAAGATTAAGAGGTGACTTGATAGAGACATACAAGATCATCAGAGGATTAGATAGGGTGGACAGTGGGAGCCTTTTTCCTCGGATGGTGATGGCTAGCACGAGGGGACATAGCTTTAAGTTGAGGGGTGATAGATATAGGAAAGATGTCAGAGGTAGGTTCTTTACTCAGAGAGTAGTAAGGGCATGGAATGCCCTGCCTGTAAAAATAGTAGACTCGCCCACTTTAAGGGCATTTAAATGGTCATTGGATAAACATATGGATGATAATGGAATAGTTTAGGTTAGATGGGCTTCAGATTGGTTTCACAGGTCGGCGCAACATCGAGGGCCGAAGGGCCTGTACTGCGCTGTAATGTTCTATGTTCTATGTTCTTCACAGATGCTGCCAGACCTGCTGAGCTTTTCCAGCAGCTTCTGTTTTGGATCTAAATTACTGTCTTAATTCACACCAAGTTCCATTCCCCTATCAGCCATGAGCTCACGTACCCTGGGTCAAGTTACATCTCGAGTTTTAAATTCTCATTCTTTTTTAAAAAATTTCTCCAAGGCCTCATCCCTTCCTATCTCAGTAATCTCTCCCAGGTCCGGAGGATGATGTGAATTAGGAGTCAGAGTGGGTTGTATGTCTCTTCCAGTTGTCTGCACCCTTCTAATTCTGACCTCTTGAATAATCACTTCATCATTAGTGGTCAGGTCTGAAGTTGCTTGTTCCACATCTCCACCTCTCCACCTTGCTTTTCTCCATTAAGAGATCTCCTAGAACTTACGGCTTTGACTAAACTTTCATTCATCTGACCTAATACCTCTTTATGTAGCTCGGTGTCACACCTTGTTTAATAATGTCCCCCTGTAATCCACTTGGGGATTTTGTTTTGAGTCGAAGGTGCTATATAAATAAAGGTTGTTGCGATCCGATGAAAGGTAGCCTCTGTCGATTGAGAAATGGTCTTTGAGCAGGAGACAGGCAAAAGACTTCCAAAAAAAATTTATTATCGAACTTTATTTTGTTAGCAATTGTCAGTGCAATTGTCTAAAATATACACATGCAAATAGCACTGTCCACATACACACAAATAAATCTTTCCAGGAGAAGTTCCTCCTATTCTCAGTGTTAATATTTAGCTTTCTGGATGAGTTCTCCCAAGCATTAAAAATGTAAAGATTGGCTATGTAGATCTATTCCTGTCAGCGCATTTAGTTGCCAAGTTTTCATTACATGCCTCCCTTTTCAAATTCCACAATGATATTCTTTGTCTTAACAATGTCCTTAATGACTGGCATAAAATGTAAACTATGTCGAGCAGGCAATGACATGATATAGGAAGTCATTCCCCAAGGTGATTGTTTTCAAATTGTTAGTGATCGGTGTGGTCACTGTTGCTGCTGACAAATCTGATTCTTCAACGCGAACTCCCTTGACTCTGCAACAATCTTCCTCCCTGACCACATCTTATAAACCTGCTGAAAACTTTTCCTCCCACCTTGTTGTGGGTAACGCTCCCCACCTTGACGTCCCTCACATATCACTTCATTCCATACTACAACTTTTTTATTCACTCGTGGGGCATGGGTGTTGCTGGTTTCCAGTGTTTATTGCATATCTCCAGTTGCCCTTGATAAGGTGGTGGTGAGCTGCCTTCTTGAACCGCTGCAATCCATGTGCGGTAGGGACACCCCCAATGTCATTAGGGAGGGTATTTCAGGATTTTAACCTAATGATAGTGAAGAAACAACTATATGTTGCCAAGTCAGGATGGTGAGTGGCTTGGAGGGGAACTTGAAGGTGGTGGTGTTCGCATATATCTGGTCCTTCTGGATAGGAGTGTCGTGGGTTTGGAAGGTGATATCATGGTGAATTACTGCAATGCATCTTGTAGATGGTACACACTACTGCTAGTGGTGGAGGGAGTGGAGGTTTGTGGATGTGGTGTCAATGAAGCGGCTGCTTTGTCCTGGATGGTGTTGAGCTTCTTGAGTGTTTTTGGAGCTGCACCCTTCCAGGCAAATGGGGAGTATTCTATCACACGGGTGTAGCAGACAGCGAAGAAGGTTACCTCAGAGTACAATGGGATCTTGATCAGACTGGCCAATGGGCTGAGGAGTGGCCGATAGAGTTTAATTTAGATGAATGTGAGGTGCTGCATTTTGGCAAGGCAAATCAGGACAGGACTTGTACACTTAATGGTAAGGTCCTGAGGAGTGTTGCTGAACAAAGAGACCTTGGAGTGCACGTTTGTAGTTCCTTGAAAGTGGAGTGATGTGTAGATAGGATAGTGAAGAAGGTGTTTGGTACGCTTGCCTTTATTGGCCAGTGCATTGAGTATAGGAGTTGGGAGGTCATGTTGCAGCTGTAAAGGACATTGGTTAGGCCACTTTTGGAATACTGCATGCAATTCTGGTCTCCCTGCTACAGAAAGGATGTTGTGAATCTTGAAGGCTCAGAAAAGATTTACAAGGATTTACCAGGGTTGAAGGGTTTGAACTCTACGGAGAGGCTGAATAGACTAGAGCTGTTTTCCCTGGAGCGTCGGAAGCTGAGGGATAACCTTAGAGAGGTTTATAAAATCATGAGGAACATGGATAGGGTGAATAGCCAAAGTCTTTTCCCCAGGATGGGGGAGTCCAAAACTGGAGAGCATAGGTTTAACGTAAGGAGGGGAAAGATTTATAAGGGACCTAAGGGGCAACTTTTTCATGCAGACAGTGTGCGTGTATGGAATGAGCTGCCAGAGGAAGTGGTGGAGGCTGGTACAATTACAACATTTAAAAGGCATCTGGATGGATACATGAGTAGGAAGGGTTTAGAGGGATGTGGGCCAAATGCCAGCAAATAGGACTAGATTAGTTTAGGATATCTGGTCGGCATGGACAAGTTGGATTGAAAGGTTTGTTTCCTTGCTGTACATCTCTGTGATTCTATGACACCTGATCTACAAGGCACAAGTAAGGAGTGTGATAGAATACTGTCCATTTCCATGGATGAGTGCAGCTTCAACAACATTCAAGAAACTCGATGCTATCGCAATGAAGCAACCAACTTTATTGACATCCCCTCCACTGTCTTCAACATTCACTCCCTCCACCTCTGATGCACAGTGTCACCAGCAACAAAAGGTACTGGAGCAGATCACTGATTCTTCTTTACCAGTGCCTTCCAAACCCACAACCTCCACCAGGAAGGGCCAGAGCA